CTTCCAGCCGCAAAAGCCCGTTATGATCCTCCACCGCCATCTCTACCTGAGCCCGTCGGATCGCTTCTTCATGAGGGGACAAGGAGGTCCGTAGATCATCATCCTCTTCTTCCTCCTCCTCCTCCTCCTCCTCCTCCTCCTCTTCTTCTTCTTCTTCGTCTTCTTCTTCCTCCTCTGCCCCCCTCCTGCGGTATGACAGGCAAGATTTTGATGGAAGGAAATTGATTAACCATTTAAATTAATCTGGAAAAGGCAAGGCTTCAACTTTCCGTCTTCCTCTTGCCCTCTTACATCTTCCTCCTCGTCTTTCTCCTCCTCCTCCTCCTCGTCCTACTACTACTACTACTACTACTACTACTACTACCTATGTGCTTTGCCCCCTCCCCGCACTCGCCACCACCAATCGTTTCCCCTTCCAAACTCTTCCAGATATGCCTGTGGCATCGGAGCAAGCATGTGCATGACGACGCTTGCGCTGTTGCCTCCCCTCAGAGGGAGGAGGCAACGGCTCACAGTGCCAGGGAGGAGGAAGAGGAGGGACAGCACCAACACACTGGAGGGGCACGCCCCGACCAAAAAAATACCCTCAGCATGTCTTCTTCTCCTGTTCATGCTCCTCTTCGGCGCTTATCCTTTGTGGGGTGGGACGGAAGACAAGGTCGATGTTATCATTTTGGCTGCAGCAGATCAGGGGATCTTTCCTCAGAGGAGCTTTCACCCCCACATTGTCAATCCTTCCATTCAGACAGCGTCTTGGCGCCCATCACTAGTCACCATGCAGGCATGACGATTGCATGGAGGCTCGTCTGGCGAGGAATATTCAATACGGAGGTCGTGGTGGCGACCAGGGCAAGAAAGTTTTGTCCCTCTCCTCTCCTCCTTCCCCCCTTCCACACCCACTTCCTTTGCATTTCCCGAGCCCAGACCGCGTTTTGAAAAACATGCCACCGTCAAGAAATAGCGTGTAAACGCCATTTTGCATCGCTTATCATGCGTAGCCGTCTTTTATTGACTCATTACAGTCCATTACCTATCCAAAGCGATTCGCACCCCCTTCCCCCCTCCTCGACATCGCTCATATCGCGCTTGCACTCGCTTACTTTGTAAATTGATTCGCGTGGGAACGCACCTTTTGTTTGCATCTTTTCACGGACGGAGAGACTCCATCCTGTCGTGCTCGTCACTGCATTCCGGAGGACATCGGGTGGAGTTTGTGACAATAGATAGAAACCATCCAGGCGCTGGAGTCGACCAACGGATCATGTCTTATCACCTTGCCGGCGTTACCCTTGCGGTCACCATCCCACCTTTCCGACAGACAACAAGCTCACGCAGACAGGTGCTGCGCAGCTACGGAACAAGCCAGACCTGAGCATCCTTCATCTTACGTTTTTGTGCCATTGTTATGCTGGCTAACAATCCTCGTAAGGCGCTGCATCCTTTCTCCTCCTTCCCAATGCCGTTTCTGCTTCCCTCCTCTTTTAAACATCCCTCTCCTTCGTTTTCCGCAACTTGTCTCGCATCAATCACAGAAACAAAAGCCTTTTTGTGGTGCTTTATCTTGCCGAAGGGGTCATTCCGCTCATGCCTCCCTCCCTCCCTCCCTCCCTCCC